TCGCTGCCCAGTGGGGTACCTCCTCCATCCGCCGATCAGCTCACAGGTGGAAGATGAGAGATTGCACACACCACTACGAAGCGGAAAGGGATCGTCGCTCTCCAGGGACTAATAACCGTAGGCCTCCCCAAAAAAATAATCGCCGTAGGCTTTCGTCTGAAGAGCGGAAATGGAAAGACCCGACCGGAAGTGAGAGACCCACCCGACCCTGTCCGAATATATACACAAGTTACCAGCGAGCGGACTCCGAAAAGGGCCCGAACGCGGCACAGAGAAACTATTTTTGCTCATGACTACTGCGGCTGCAAGCTCAACGGCCGAGTCAGGTACCTTTCGCATTATATCTCGTTGCTGTGGGTGACCGTTACGACGATGTGAGGAGCAGCTAGCTGAGATTTTGGGGGCAGTGTTACCGTGGAATGGTAACGCTGATCTGGCTTGCGGGAATGCACCAGATCGTCAGTGAGAGCTAAGTCCTCCGCACGCATCCGGACCCGGGGGTAATTTGCAGGCCGATCCGTCTGAGCGATCGCCTGGGCGGAAAGGCGTAACGCCGTCGTTGCTCCTCCTCCGGAATTGCGTCCCCTCAAGGTCGCAACGTTCCTCTGGAGGGGCGGGAGGGAATTGGAGACCCTCGCACCCCAAATGACCCAACTCCGGCTCTTCCCAAAGACGTGAGCGTCCCGTCCAACGGAAAAGGCTGAACGGAATACGCTCGGAAGTAGGACCCGACCTGGAAATTTCCTTTGACCCATTCGACCGTTATCTGCTCACAAGGATAGCGGAATTCTCCACCACCTACGGCCTAGCGGATCGCAGGGGGACGAATTAAACCTAACCCGAATACCCGGGACACTCCAAGGAAATTGACCCTACCCGGAAGGATCCTGTGACCCACTCGACCGTGTTCAGCGTAAGGTCAGCGGAGTTGTCCACCACTTACGACCAAGCAGATCCCAGGGGACGGGGTTAGACCCAACGGGGAAGCAAAAGGACCTAGGTGTCGGAATCCACTCGCTATATGCCCAAGCTCTCACGCAAAAGAGCGAGGGGACCCTGTCCGATATTTGCCCAAGCTCTCACGCAAAAGAGCGAGGGGACCCTGTCCGAGTAATTGCCCAAGCTCTCACGCAAAAGAGCGAGGGGACCCTGTCCGAGTAATATGCCCAAGCTCTCACGCAAAAGAGCGAGGGGACCCTGTCCTAGTAATTGCCCAAGCTCTCACGCAAAAGAGCGAGGGGACCCTGTCCGAGTAATATGCCCAAGTTCTCGCGTAAAACTGCGAGCGGGATCCAGAATGATGGGACGATGGAGACCCAACCGAATCCGCACCCACCCTTTCGTTGCCTAATCGTGATGGGCCAAGATTTCGTCTCTCCAGGAGAGATTAATCTACTTGTTGCGGATTCAAAGGTTCGTCGCTACCCCAGTGAACTACTTGCTGTAAGCTTTCCATGACAAAAAATACTCGCCGTCAGCTTTCCTTGACACTAGGAGCGGAAAGGAAAAGAACCCACCGGAAAATCGTCCGAGACACTCCCGATCCCGTGCCCAAGCTCTCACGCAAAAGAGCGAGGGGACCCTGTCCGATATATGCCCAAGCTCTCACGCAAAAAGAGCGAGGGGACCCTGTCCGATATATGCCCAAGCTCTCACGCAAAAAGAGCGAGGGGACCCTGTCCGAGTAATATGCCCAAGCTCTCACGCAAAAGAGCGAGGGGACCCTGTCCGATATATGCCCAAGCTCTCACGCAAAAGAGCGAGGGGACCCTGTCCGATATATGCCCAAGCTCTCACGCAAAAGAGCGAGGGGACCCTGTCCGAGTAATTGCCCAAGCTCTCACGCAAAAGAGCTAGGGGACCGTGTCCGAACAGTTTTCCGTCAGTGCGGCAATTCTCGACCAACCTGTGAAAATATAATAAAGACAACATGAATTTTGTTCTGTGGAAGAGAGTCGTCCTCCGTGAGTCCGGCGATCTTATTCGTACCTGTGAAGACAATATACAATTTTGGTTTGAACACGTAAACAAATTTAAAGACAAAACACAATTTTTTCCGTCCGAAAGGGTTCCTGTTACATAAAACCTTTCAATATATAAATTTTCGCGTCGTAAATTTTTTATCGCGTCGTAGAATTTCTTCGCGTCGTAGAATTTCTTCGCGTCGTAGATTTGTTATCGCGTTGTAGATTTCCTTCGCGTTGTAAATCTGTTACCGCGTCGAAGATTTTCTTCTCTTCGTGTTTCATTTTTTTTATTTTCGCGTCGTCGTCTATGTTTTCGCGAATACTGAATTACCTACACCTCGAATTAGGGAACCCTCGCCGCACAATACTTACAGTCTACACTTACCTTAAACCCTAACTTTTGCTAGTTACGCTTATACTAAACTTAAAAACTACTCTTACCTTAACTACCATTCCTTACGTTCGTGCACGGAGGAATGGTCGAAGTCCAGTCGGTCAGCGAACGACTGACAGCTTACACTCTGACTGCTCGTGGAGGCCTCTAGGATCCGCACGACGCACCGTTCTCTCCCAACAGCAACTTCGACCGTCCTCCGTGAAACTTGCGTAAGGAATGAACGATTTTCTAACACCGACCCCCATTTATAGATTTCGGTGCATCGTACCACACTAACTCGGGACTTTGATTGGTCAAACACTGTCTCTTATACACATCTAGATGTGTATAAGAGACAGCCGATATATTGCCCAAGCTCTCACGCAAAAGAGCGAGGGGACCCTGTCCGAGTA